CCTAGACAACGATCTCCTTTAATTTTCTATAATAGGAGAATTTAGTTCAGCTTACGCACCTTGACTAATTCTCCGAGTACCTGCGACCTCAACACATGTATCTGGTAACTTAAGCTACCTAGGTTTAGACCGATGAAAAGAAATTACCTAGCTGTTTGCCTCTGTCTAGGATTTGATTCCTAGTCTCTTGTGGTTCATTTTACTCTCCTTTATTGTTAGGACATACCCTTGACTGCACTGATGTCGTGAAATCTTCATCTTTCACCAACAAATATTTGAAGCATCAACCTTGTGAAGTGTATCAGCTTCCATGTGCCTTGAAGATCCTACTGACTCCCAAGGAATTTTAAGCAGTGGCATTATTTGTAGAAGAACAATTCCATGATTTTTCAATTAAATATTTCTAGTAGAAGCTTTTGGAAAATGTAAATGTATTAAGAATCTGTGCTCAACTTTTTTCTCTAATGTATATGACAATGTTGCACATGCATATATGTACTATCTTGGGAAGTTATAGTGGACTAGAGATATCATACTTATACTTTTTATTTTGGGCCCTATTATGGCATACACTGTTCTCGTCTTCAGATGTTAGTTGTTGACTAGATATCGGGGTAGGGTTCCTCTGTTCTACCAACAACTGAAGATACTTCTGAAGAATCTTCTGCTGCTTTTGTTTTTATTGCTCTCAGTTGACATACCCACATTAGCAGTTAGAACTCTCTGATCTTTCTATATATCTTTATAAGTTGGGACAGGTGAGTTTGTTGCTTTCCAATGAAGGAGGTGGCATATGTTAGGCTGTGGACTAGATGACTAAATTGACTCTGCGCTTTCTTCATTTTAAAAATTTGTTTTGGTAGGAACGATCAGAAGCCAGTCAATCAAGTATATTTTACGTAGATGATTTCAGTTTAGAGAGGCTTTTATACTGTTTGGGATGACACTATTACATTAGTTGCTAACTGGCCAGTCTATCAAGTAATTTGAAGTAGACAATTTCAGTGGTTTAGAGAGGGTTTTATACTGTTTGGGATGACACTACTATATTAGTTACTAACTCGCCAGTCTTCAAGTAATTTAAAGTAGACGATTTCAGTGGGTTAGAGAGGCTTTTATACTGCTTGGGATGACACTATTCACTATTGCATTATTTGCTAACTATTCCAACTAAGTTCTTATATATGTAGAAGAAGTTTTTTTAGGCGATAATGCTAAAAACACACTAAATGATGTATATTTGGAGGTAAAATTCAGCGACTCTATTCTTGATGTGGTAGGTAAACTGTTCTTAGGGCATCGGAATTATATGTGGTATGGACTCAGTCTTCGAGGGTGGTAAAAGTTTGTATAGACTCTGATAAAGTAATGTGTGTGTAAAATCCAAATAGATTGATACAAGATAAAGATTTTTGTCTCCCTTATATCAATAAGGAGAATCTTGTGTTGTTTCATGTTCGAGTTACTGGTAATGATATTAAAATCATAAAGCAGCTTACTAGTGTTGAATTGGTGAAAACCACTTCGCATATATCTCTTCTGGTATCTTTGTAACTTCCCTTTCATATTCTTTCCATGCCATTGGTGCTTCAGCTTTCTAAATCTTGATATTCCATGCAAAATTGCATATGCTGTCACAGTATGGCCTTCCATTTCCTGCTATTCTACCTGAATTTGGTTCTCTAATTTCCACTCCCCATTTCATTTCTTCCCTTTCTGTGGTATTGCCATTTTCTGTACCTCGATATTCCATGGGAGAGCTCTTCAGTGGTCATAGTGTGATGTTTCATTCCCTGTTGCAATACTTGTATTTTGTTCTTTTGTATTCTGGGTCGGCTTGCTGTTAATACTTTGTTAATTCAGAGGAGTCAGTGAACCTTTAGGTATTTTCGCCATGTTATTTTGGATCTGTGTTCGTACATATATGTGGAGTGCGAAGAGTCAAATAAGGGGAGAAGGGGGGTTATAATGATATAAATAAGGGTAGATGGGTGGGCCCATTATCCACTGAATTTGTAACTGGGCCTCAATGGCCCTTGGAGATTTTTCAGTCATAAAAAGAATGATATTATAATATGTCAATATTTGAAATGTTCCTTGTGTTTTGCTGCCAACTGTAGTGATGATGAATAAAGAAGCGGATTTTAAACTGTGTTAACTCTTGCAAATTCAAAATTAATAGAAGCAATGGTGAATAATTGAGTTCATAAAAAAGAGTTGGTGATAGTTGCAGATCAACAGAAGTAAAGGTTATTTTGGAAAGTCCTGTCGCCATAGTATGATTTTTTTGTGTTGATAAAAGTCATCGGGCAAGAGATGTCTATATCCATTTCCCTTTCAAACATTGCTTTAGGAAATCTGGGGGTGAGATGCAGTAAAATGATCAGGTGAAGTCTAGACTAGATGAATTGCCCAAGTATGTAGTGCTTTAAGGTTCTCAGGGAACAATGGAGAACCATATTTTACGTTGCTCCCTTTCTTGAACTGGTATACTCTTTGTTATGGGGAATCTTCACCTTTAATGCAATAAAATCATATCAATAAAAGAGAAAATATAAATGGGAAATTTGCTGTTTCTTCCTATTTACTTTGAGCTGTTGAGAACAGGACTTTGTAAACTTCTATACTTCATCAATATGGAGGATGTTTCCCTTTTCTCCATCTTTTTAAAAATGAAGGCGGCGTTCGAGCCAGTTATGGGAAACTTCGACTATTCCACCAAGCAGTTGCTACTCCCCACCATCACAAATATGGGATATATTGGGTGGCCTTTTCTTTCATTTCACATTGGGGGATTACTTTTGATTTCGGAAAAACTGCAGTCATGTCCCAGAATGCATAATCCCCCTCATATATCTTTAGAAAACTAGTGACCAACACTTAACATTTTCATTTGCTTCCTTGGATACATGTTCTAGTTTCCCCACTTGATACATGAGACCTTGGTCTGCATGAGTAGAAACACTACTATGTTATCTGCGTGCGTAACTTTGTTTATGTAAATTTGCAACAGATATAATAGCGGGCATGGTGAAGAATAAGATGGAAGTTGATGCTGTAGATGTTGCTTATACTTTTGGAGTTGAGGAAAAATGTAGCCCTTGCGAAATTTTGTCATCATTTTTAGAAGAACTAAGAGAATCGCTGAAGAAAAAGAAATGCCAATCACATGGTTCACATGCTGTTGTGGTAATTCTTGAATTTCATCTCGAGCAGTAATATTCCCTCCCTCCCATATCAATCATCATAACTATTTTTTGTTATGTTATACAGAATGAAGCAAACAAGAGGGAATTGTCTACTATGAAATCTGTCATCGAATGTTTGGAAGCCCACAACATTGATCCCTCAAAGCTTATTCCACGATTCCGTATCAGTGACAGAATTATGAGCTTGGAGGAAAAAATTGCTAGGAATGATCAAAGAAGAGAGAAGATGGTGCAAAATCGGAAATTTGAAGAAACTGGGTTATCTAGAAGGTTCGAAGAGAGACGAGCAAAACGCGCCTGCATACTAGATTCAGAGCATCATAGACCTGTAAATTACATCAGTAGCCAGAGACCCTTGTTAGCAGGTCTGCCTCCTAGCCACATTTATGGTTATTCTGTGTCACCATCAGCATTGCCTATTCATGACATTGTTCCTGGCTCACCAGCAGCAAGTTGGGGAGGTATGGTTATGGGTGGAGTTAGTTCAGGTATCATAAGAAGCAGAAATGACGCTCTACAAGCTGGCGCATATGGTGGATTTCGTGAGAGGATACCAATTGAACATAAAACTGGGCAAATAAGAAGTTACAATAATCAGTTATATGAATGGCAAGAGAATGCATCCATGCATGAAAGGGAGGTCTCTCATAACTACGGTTACGGGTCATCACCATCGTGGCAAGGCTCTATGGAGTTGCCAAACCCTGTTCCTGTTGGTCCTGGTTACCAGACCGCTGCTTCTGATCCTTATCAGTTGGCTAGTACTGTTCAAAGTTCCCCATATCATAACAGAGGCGTTGTTCCCTCTGTTAACCATTATTCATCCTACTTGTACCCAGGGACATATTATCCCCAGGGCATGCAGTAATATGTAGTTTCAGGTTTCTCTTGTAGAAATGCTTCGAAGTTGATAACTTTTGTGGGAAGCATCATGATTCATGGGCAAGTAATCTGATAAACAACCTGGATATGAGTAAATTATGAGTTAATACCTTATATGGTCACTCAATTATACACTTTTCTCTCAGAAAATCACTCAACTTTCAATTTTCATTCAAAAGTCACTTAACTATTCACTTCTTTCTCAGAAAGTCGACTTTGAATTTTAATTCAAAAGTCACTCAACTATTTACTCTTTCCTTAAAAAGTCGCTCAATCTATTAAATTGTTCTTTTAATTAAAATTTATTGATATTAATTATTTATATAACAAATCAAAATTTTTAAAAAATAAAAATATCATTTAAATTATTTAGTGATCCATTCACTTAACTCGACCCATTAAAAAATATGATATGACCCATTTTATTTTGTCTTTAATTCTAATTCAAGGTTTAAAGAGAGAGATTAATTTAGGAATAAAGACAAAATAAAATGGGTTATATCATATTTTTTAATGGGTCAGGTTAGGTGGATGGATCACTAAATGATTTAATTTATTTTTTAAAATTTTTGATTTGTTATATAAATAATTAATATCAAGAATTCTTAATTAAAAAATATTTTAATGGATTGAGTGACTTTTTGAGGAAAGAGTGGATAGTTGAGTGACTTTTGAGTTAAATTTCAAAGTTGAGTGACTTTCTGAGAAAGAAAGCAATAATTGAGTAACTTTTGAGTGAAAATTGAAAGTTGAGTGACTTTTTGAGAGAAGATTGCATAGTTGAGTGACCATCTGAGGTATTAACTCGTAAATTATTGAGTGCAGAAAAATTTAATACTTGTGGTGTATACGAGTTAGATCTGTCAATATTTTGATGACCGTTACAATAATCAGTCCAATCCAGCCATATAAGTTTTAACAGTTATAAATTAGTGCTCTTCCATTAGAAAATGTTCTTTGCCTCCTAATCTACAAAAGAAAAGAGTTCAAAGCTCAGCTGAGTTAATGTAGCAAATATGTAATACAATGACTACAAATCATAAGTTCAGTGCACTACAGAAGAATCTTAAAAGACCCATAGAAGCATTGCATAGGACTCCGAATTGAACAATTCAGGCAAATTATCTGCGGAAAATGTGGCATTGTTGGAATCCAGGCTGAAAAATGGTTCCAACAAGAGTTTGAGTTGTATCAGCTAACACCATTCTGATCAGCTACAACACAGTTATCATCAGACACGGTAAGGTTTTTCTGATCAGCTAAAACACCATTATCAGAGACGGTAAGGTTCTTCTGATCAGCTACAACACCGTTATCAGAAGTGGTAAGATTCTTCTGAATAGCTACAACACCATTATCAGAGTCGGTAAGGTTCTTATGATCAGCTACAACACCATTATCAGCGGTAAGGTTCTTATGATCAGCTTTTGCAGAAACTTCTATTCCGCACTCATTAGGAGCAGTGAGAATTTCAGAAATGAATTTTATCAATGAGCAGAGACCACCCAAGAAGTTATGATCAATGACACCTCGTCCTTCGTAAACATGAGCAAAGTCAATCAGTTTGATTTGTGCACCTGGATTCTTTCCTTTCAATGCCAACTCTTTTTCAAAAATCACCAGAATTGAGCAAGAATACAAATGGAATATAGTTTGATCCTCAAACCAAGCTTTAAGCTCCAGTAACTGAGATAAAATGCCAGTAGATCCACCATAAACAGTTGATGCGAAAGCGCAGTCTGGTCTCGAATCCAAATCATTCAATGTGTTTGAAGAAACAAACCTTCTCAGGACTAACTTGACTTCCTCTCTAGAGAGTTTCTGAGCAGCTTTCTTTCCAGGCTTCCATAATCCTAGTTCTTTGCTTCTATAGATTTGCAACCCCGATATTCTGAATCCTAATGAAAGGCTTGACGATTCTCGATCTTTTTTTAAGCACTTCTGAATATATTTCTCGGATGCTTCGGGTGCCCAGGTTCTTGAACCAATCTTAATGTCCATTATCGATGGATTGACACGACCTAGAGCAAGATCTTCCAAGACCAAGTGAGGTAGCAAGCCAGATCCATCAGATGCTTCTACGAGCTGAGTTCCATAAAAGGTGGGAAAAAATCTTTGAATGTGTTCCGGGATCCCACTGTTAGTAGACAATGAAGTATAGAATGCAACCTCACTGGCCCCTCGTTCATCACCTTGCAGAGGCTTGTAGAAGCGCCCTGATTCATCCACGAGGGGACCAAGCTTCCCGATGCCCGCTTCGTGCCCTGCAACTTGATGCTGAGGGACCTTAAGCATCTTCACAGAAAGTGAAGTACTTCAGAAATTAAACAGAAGTGCAATTTTCTTGTAATTAAAGTCTCCGACACACAAAGTGTTTCCTGTATTGAGACCAAATTACAACTCTTATCAGCCACTTGAGAAAGCACAATGTTCAACCTGAGTTAATGAATGGGAATATCTGAAGTGTAGACAATTTTTTGCTGATTCCCCGTTCAAAACAAGTGGTATTATATTTACCAAAGAATAACAAAAGTTAATAGAAGCATTTAGTCAAAATTGTTTCTGGAACCAAGTTGTTACTTCGACAGAATAATGTTACTTGCAGTCTCCCCATACACATTAATAGGCAGTTTCTGCTACGCCTACTGTTGAAAATAACTCCAACCACTAAGAACAACATGAATGACCAACAAATAACATCATTTCTTGAAAACAGAATTGTGACATTCATCAAGCACATTCACTTCCTTACTATTATTTTCCCCAACCTTGTGCTCCAACTAGCTAAAGAAACTACCTACGGAAACTAACGTGCACAAAATGACACCAAACATGCACAATTTCAAGGACATACTACATAGCAAATATATGATAAGTTTTCTTCTTTAGCTGTTTCCATCTGTAAGCACTCAAACTCTTAAAATAAGACATGGTCTTTAAGGCAATAAACCAAACTTCTTATTAAAACTTAAGTGTCATATTATTCATGAGGCGGACTCTATCCTGACTGGCATACTGAAGCTTATACAGATTATAAATGAAACAACATAAACGTAGTACCACTTGTTGTCAGTTTACAAGTCCCTGAATGGAGCAAGAACCATAAGGTTTGATTGTTGGCAACACAAACTTATCTTCTAGGGTAGGCTTGCTTTCACCTGGTCCCATCACCGACAATGATTTCAATATGGGTTCAACTACAGATGGATAGATGGATTTAAAAACTAGTATCCACAAGGACAACCACATATTTCTCATTTTGGATAATTCATTTCTAGGACAAACACCACGTATTTAACCTATATTATATTTACACACGCAAGAGTGAAAATAATAAAAGGATTATTACAGCATGTAGAAAATAGTTAAATAAGGAAAAAGAACAGGAAACAAGTTAGAAATGCAAGATGCAAGCAAGCTTGAAGACACATTCTTGTGGAATTACACGAGTTATTTGCAGAAATATGTTTAATACATAGCCTCAAATGAATAAGTTGGCATATGTGAATCAAGTAAGCTGAATCCCGAATTAGTTGGAGTACAATATGAATCATTTGTATCCATACAACTCCATGGAATAAGTTAATATATCAATCAGATACGCATCCAAGGGGCAGAGCTACCTTCATACAAGGGGGTTCATCTGAACCCCCTTTGACGGAAAATTATATTATTTATGCATGGTTAAAATAAGTTTATATGTATATATAGTATTCAAACCCACTTCGACTATCTATTTCTACAGATTTTGAACCCCTTATTGAAAATCCTATCTCCGACTCTGTATGCATCAATATAGAATGAGTTAAACACAGTTAAATGAAACATCCGTATCCATTTTGCTCTACAGTAAAAGTAGATTATGATAGAAAAATGTGAAAGAGGTTGTATGAAGAACATACTCTTCATTAACAAATATGAGCACAAGCTCAAAACATAACCATGAAAGCACTAGCCATTTTTGCATTTAAGAGGGTAAAAAGTAGTCATGCAATTTTATTGGGCCGGGAAAAACTTAAACCACTTGTATTCTAGTAAAGTTTGCAGTAATTTTGACATTTTGAATAGATGCAGAGGCAGATCCAACACAACCTCAAACATGGACAATAAGCTACATAGAGAACTTCAAAAAAATTTCAAAAGTAAGTATATATTTAAGGCATAATACATAAATAGACACTCAAATTTGACCACAGCTGGTAAGAAAACATTCCACCTTTGAGAGTGCAAATCTAGACACCTCAACATAATCTCAACTGACAATTAAACGCTTCAAGTCTCCGACTCACCCTCCAACTTTGAGAGTGCAAATCTAGACACCTCCACTTGGTCTCAACTGACAAATTAACACTCCAACTCGTTCTCCAATTTTGATAGTGCACATCTAAACACCCCAACTTGGTCTCAACTAACAACTTAACACTCCAACTCGTTCTCTAACTTTGAAAGTGCACATCTAGACACCTCAACTTGTTCTCAGCTAACAACTTAACACTCTTAACTCATCCCCACTATGTCTCGTGGACACTTATGTTGATGTGACACATAAATTTTAGAGGTACCCAAATAATTATTTTGTAAGTTGGAGTCTTCAACTAGCATGTCAGTGGAGACGAGCTGAGATGTCTAGACGTGCATACCTTTCGTACCTGATTATGCCTAATGTCTATGTTAAATAGTACATCCCCTACTTCTAGATCTTGGATTTGACCTCTAAAGAACTGCATAGCTAGAACACAGGCAAAAGATTGCAGAACACTGAAATTTGTTCAAACAAATAAACAAATTGTAACTTTAACATGAAGCAGATTTATGAATCTCTTTTACCCAAAAAAAAAAAAAAAGATGCAAACAAAAATCCCATTTTCAGCAGTATACTTAGAAATAAAAATCAAATCTACCAAAAAGTAAGAGCAAAAAGTGGAATCTGAGCAAGTACTTTTACTTTACCAAACATACAAGTAAATTACAAAATTTAACCAGCTTAGCCCATGTGCTAGTAACAAAAAGAAAAGGTTATACATAGATTTAAGAATATACAATAAGATCAAAGATTGCAACTTTATGTCAGTATTTGTATTTGTTTCTCCTTTAATAAAAAAGAATCGAACTTTCTTGACCAAAAATCTGAAACACAGGTAAGAATTAAACGTTTCTTTCAAAATAAAAAGACATAAATAATCTTTACCTAACAAATAACATTACAATTCTAAAAGAGAACCAAAAATAAATATATTAAAGATTCAAAATCTAACAACTTTTAAATAATTACCTTTCTTTAAACTCTTTCAAAATGCAGTTTCCACAGACATTTTGTGGAAAGTCCGAACAAGATTTAAATAGAAGTAGGTGATTATAAGGATTCACTTAGAGCGGTGATGTGAAGTTTCTTTTTAGACACGTGTGATTTTTTGTTGGACAATTCTCGTGTTTAAAAGGAGACAGAAAATTTTATTTTATTTAACAGAAGATGAGGTTTAAGTTCGTAGATATTTAATTTATAATATATAATAACAAAATATTATATAAATTCCTAAATAGTTTCTAATAATTACATATAATTAAGAAAATTTGTAGAAAATAAATTTTTTATATAAATATAAATAATGTAATGATATAAAAATTATTCGAGATGCAAATTAACTCTAATATCTTTAATTTTATAATAATAAAAGAATTATTATTTCTAAAAATATATTATTATCATACTATACAATTTACTCAAATATATTATCATACTATACAATTTACTCACATCCCCCTAAAGAAAAAGAAAAATAATCAATAAAATTACTAATATTATAAAAATATCATTCGGTCATGAATAAAAGATATATTTTTAAATAGCTAAATAATAAAATATAATAATTTTGAGACATGACAATAAAATCATAAAATATCACAACGATTTAAATTAAATCGATAAAAAATGTTTATATTATTATATATACACGATATTCATAAAACAGGAATAATAATACGGAAAGATGTGTAACACAAATTTCTACATTTATCACTTTTTTTAAAAGTTAGAATAGTTCAAATTTCTTCTAAACTCACATGCAATTAATAGATTATAGAAACAACACTAATTGTTTATCTTTATCACATCAAATATAAAATTCAGAAGAGAAAATGGAATTCTAATTTGTATTAAAAAGATAAAAGGTGTCACACTTGAAAGACAAAAATACTAGTTTGTGTTGTCTAAGACCGAAAGTAATGCTAAACTTATTTTATAATTTGAAGACCATAAATTCAATAATTTAATACTAATAAATTAATAATATATCTTTTTGTTCAATTTATTGATTAAGGCCCGTTTGGATGGGCTTAATAAAAGTAACTTTAAAAAAGTACTTTTGAAAGTGCTGAAATTTATTTTTAAAATAAGCAGTTATGCGTTTGGATAAAAGTGCTGAAGTTAAAAAAAAGTTGTTGATGTGTTTGGCAAATAAGTGCTGATAAACAACTTTTTAAATCAAAATATGTTTGAAATACCCTTAAAGCTGTTTATA